CAGCCCCAACTCTCTCAGCCTGTTCTTGTAGATATGTACATCCACCTTCTTAGTATTCTTTCTCAATACATGTGCAGTCTTTGTAAAGTGTCTAAAATGTAGATGAAACCAATATCCTGATCCAGAAGTCCTGTGAAATATTTATTTTAATTAACATTACACAAAGCATTGTGCAGCCTATTATGTAGAAATAATTATATTGTTTTTATCTTTGATTTTATTTTAATTGGCCTCTTGCACAAGAAGAGTTAACCTAACATGTGAAATATAAAATTAATATTAAATGTGCTATCCGTCACTCCTGTGCACTTTTAATGAGCTTTATTTATTTGAATTGAATCCCAGAATTACATAACTAAACACTGTGGATAGACATTTGAACTGAAATGAACTAGAACAAAAAACACTAGCAAGTTGCTTAGTACAAAAAAATACCAACACATCCCTATCAATCAAACCAAATCTTGAAAGAGAAAGATACTAAAATTTTACAAAGAAAGGATTTTACACTTTTCACTTGCTGCAATATTTTGCATATTTGTCTCATTAATTTTATTTCCTTTTCCTATTTTACACTTGTATCTTAGTTTTATGTGAACAATGTTTATGTCTATCATTCAGAATATTTCGTTTTCTCAGTGGGCAAAATAGACAACAGCCAGTGTACTAACATAAACTTTATCAATTGAAACATTACCCTTACAATGTTTCTTACCTGCACTCCATCAGATGCAGGGATATAACTTGCTCTTTTAAATGTGTCTGTAACATTTCTGAGAATTTCCACAGAAATAAGAAGGTCCCCCGCATAAAAGTTTTTCCTCTGAGTTAAATCCAATAATGTCTTTGTTACTTGGGACATGCCATCACCAGCCAACATCCTCTGCCCCTTGGCAAGGTGCTCTTTAATCTGTACCGGAAGAAAAAAAATGAGTTTCAGAACCTACTTTACTGAGAAAAAGGTATGATAAATACTAAACACAGACAAAAATGTTAATATTAAAGCTATTATAATATTAAAGCCATTATAATAAATTTCGTCCTGCTAAAGTGAAGACAAAATAAGTAGACTATGATGACAGAATTATTATATTTTTCAGAGATTCATGGATTTTATACTGAAAGATTTTGAAGTTGTTGTGTTTCACCCATTTGCTTCTCTTTGGACGTTAACAACTTCTCAACATCCATATTCTCAAAGGAACTCCATGGACTGGATGATGCCTTTAATCTACTGCCATGATGTAGCAAGGAACTGGTCTTCTGCAGAGGAACAGCTGTGTAGCCACTGGTGCCACTCATTAAAAAACTAAGAGCTCTGAAAGGAGTAAATGCTAAGGCAGTCCTTGTTATAACCTAGTTTACTGTAGGGAAGCACACCCTTAATCTCTGCCAGCCCAGCTTGGCTAGGCAATATAAGAGCATTGATTTAGGTGGAAGCTGATTAAAGTACTCTTTTCTGTAGTACTAACAACACAGAAAAATCTTGTTTGTTTTTTTAAGAAATGCAAATTAATTTATGAATTGCTCTTGTTTATCAGCCAAGAGAGCATGCTTCAGTGTTAGCTGTCCTAGTAGATCTGTACAGGGCCAATGATAAAAGTAATCCAAAATGCTTATGCTGGTAGAAGAATCCTTCTGATAAGAAGCTGAACTTGTGGATCTGATTAATTCTTAAAGCTGTCTCATCATCCCAGGAGGATGCATAAGTGTATCACAAAGATGTCACAAGGCCAGTCAGGGCTGAAAAAGAGTGCGTGGTTAAAACCACCTATTTTTAAATATGCACATGAATTTACGTATACAAACAGAAGTTCTTCCAAATTGAAGCTAAATTAAAGAAAAGATAAATGATCTGAGACAGATCTCACTCTAGGCAGGAGGACTGAAGAGAAAATTCTTTGCAACTGGCAACCAAAATGCTGACACCATCTCTGTAAATTTATCTTCAATTGCTTTTTAATTTGGCCTTACTACTGATATACAGAGGGAAGGATGAGTAATGTAATGTAATTTGATGGTGAAGTGGAAGGACTTCCAGACCTCCCTAGCCACTTTGTGTGGATACGTGGGGCCTCATTAAAAAAGGAAGGAAGGAAGGAAGGAAGGAAGGAGGGAGGGAAGGAAGGAAGGAAGGAAGGAAGGAGGGAGGGAAGGAAGGAAGGAAGGAAGGAAGGAGGGAGGGAAGGAAGGAAGGAAGGAAGGAAGGAGGGAGGGAAGGAAGGAAGGAAGGAAGGAAGGAGGGAGGGAAGGAAGGAAGGAAGGAAGGAAGGAGGGAGGGAAGGAAGGAAGGAAGGAAGGAAGGAGGGAAGGAAGGAAGGAAGGAAGGAAGGAAAAGAAAGAAAGAAAGAAAGAAAGAAAAATATAGACTATGTAGTAAAAAGTGTTGTGATTAAGAGTTCATAATAACTTTCATGAAAGCAATTTAAAAACTACAGACAACCTCTGACATATATGATCTAAATACTTTTTTCATGCTGTTGGATCATACTTTGGTTATATTCTCAACTGGTCTTGAGATAAACTAAATTTAAATATCACAGCTGGGGCTGGGCAAAGTGGCTGCTTCACGTTATGTCTATGGCCTTAAGTCATCTTTGTAGCAGCAGAGGATTGTTATGGACCACAACAGGCTTACCCAAATCCTAGAAACACTTAAGCCTTGGGAGAACACCTGCCCACTGCAGCATGGACAGGGAATGAATCTACTCTATACTATGAGTACAGAGGTATGAGCATAATTGTACAATCAAATATTAAAAAAAAAAAAATCAGTGAGAAGAATGGAGGCAGTTAATTAGGTTTTTAAACAACTATTTCAGTAGAAATAATACCTCCCTCAGTCTTCAGAATACTGTAATAAGTAATTAGGCAAGAAGCTTTCTTGTAGAAATCCTTTTGTGCAGTTTCTATTCATTTTAGAAGGAAGCTTTGAAAATAATCTTGTAGGAAAATAGTAATGGAGAGAAAGATGTGAGAATGGAAGAAAATTCATTTGAGTAAATTCAGGGTTCTGTTATTGTATACATAATATTATGAACTACTTTCTTGGGAACAAGAAAGCAAAAGCAAACAAGAACTTGATTTATGATTTTTCCTGTGAAATGTTGTCGTTTGCCTCATCTGCTCTCACGCTGCGTATGGGTAGCAAATTAGAAGAGCATCAGCTAACACAGTAACACACAATAGTAGAACTTTTGATGGAACTCGTCCAGCTGTTCATTGACCCCAGAGCATATTTCCAGATTTTAAAGATTAACAATGTTCAGTGTCTCTTTAGTGAAGCCCAAAAGATGTACAACACAAAAGACATTCCATAAAGTTAAACTCACAAATTTAACACGTGCCTCAGGATGTACTGTGGCATCACACAGCTTGATGGCAGAGCTTAAGAGAGAACAAGCAGGTTCTCTTAACTTCAGTAACAACAGCAAAGTAATCAGTTCTCATAAAAACTCTGCTACACTCTTCTGCTTGTACGAATCGCTAGTAGGAAAGCTGTCAAACTATTTAGCATGTTATTTTATATTACTTTATTTTGCTTCCTTTTGGTCCATCTGTATGTTCACCCTCCCATTTGTTTTTCCATGCTCCTGCTAGACTTTAAATTCACATTTTAAAGATGGGAGGGGCCAATTTGTTTTGGTTTTGGACCATGCATAGCACACAGAACTCTTGGTCTTCGCTGCTTTTGGAACACAAATACAAAAATAAAATTATCCTGGTTTTGACTGGTTTTTAGACTTTTGAGCAAATAAATCTCTGTTTTCAGTGAAAAATTTTACAGATCTCTAGCAGCAGAAGTGGGAGCTGTAGTACACCCTTTAGTGCTTTCAGCAAGACATTTTGATTGCTTTTGGACACAATGATAAAAAAGGTTGAGCAAGTGCCCACAATGTCACAGGACTAAATTATTACATCGACTTCAGAAGCAGCCAGGGTTGTGGTGCAGGCGGTTTAAAGTACCCCAGAATTACTGGCTTTAAAAGTTTTTAACTGTTTTTTTAAAAAATGGTATACACACAAAGCTCAGCTTCCCAGCACAAGTACCCTTCCTCCCTTGGGCCATACCACTCATACACAGCTTGTTGAGCAACTTTTCTTCACCCTCTCAAGCTCCAACCCAGAATTTTCTTTCTCTGACCCTTAGCTACCCCTCCAGGCCTACACTGCCTTGAGTCAGACTAGCAGCATAACCTTAGAAGTAGCATAACAAAACAGAAGATTTAAATATGTTTAGGTAAGGAAAGTGGGTGAAAATGAGTTAATTTGTAGAAAATTTTGAGTACGGACTGGTAAGCAATGTGTAGGGCAGGGTAAGGATTAGCAGCCTCTTTATAATCAGTTTATCACATGATGTATTTTCTTGTTGTAAAACAGCCTACAGCTCCTAAACACAACTTAAAAATTACAGGCCATTCACTCAGTTGCTATAAACTGATGCAATACTATTAAAGTCAGTGAAGTTGTCCAGATAAGTATGAGTTGAAGGAAGTGGATTACTTGCACAGCTACCACAAGAATCCTTCTGTGTGAAAACACAGCATATTCTCATCAGTGGTTAGTATAATGTCTTTCTCACCATAGTACTTATTTTCTATGCTATGGTCATTGTGATATTATGCACTGTCCAAGAAAGCTATTTTGGTCACCACTGTAGGTCCTTGTAGTTCTCTGTGAAGGTCATTTTTTAGTGGTCTTACAGACAGGCTCATTAAAAATAAAGTTTATGAGCCGAGAGATACTGAAATGAAGCAGCTGTTAAAGTGATACTTCAGTTGTCAGCCCAGCGTCTAGCCGCCTGCACTATATGGCTGCATACTTGAAAAATTACTGAAATGTTTAACTGGACATTGACTCAGGGTCCAACTGCCTTCGTTGCTCGATTTATCAGAAAGTATGATATAATAAAACTACCTCTTTACAAAGTCAGAGCTCCTAGGCCTTTAGCATTGGAGTACAATTTTATTACTGCAAATTAACAACTAGATATGTTTTAAAAAGAAAGAAAATAATAAACCCTCAAGACACCTATAAAAGATAGAAAAGAATTACTAATTTGAAGAACAACTACGCCATCATCCTTTTTTCATTATTTTTTAAGACGATGTTAGATTCATGGCTAGGTATTATTAATGATGTCATTAATATAGTGTATGGTAGTGGGAACTAAAAGAACCCAAATTAGTAAGCCTTAGATAGAAGTGACGAAAGATAGTTTGAAATAAAAATATGTCCTGAAATCGCTCAAAATCTGCGAACACTTTGCTTTGTACCTCCACAACCCAACGCTCATATTTTGTAAAATATTTTTCATAAAGTTCTTAAGATGCAGAACAGGAAGGAATATTCACATCACCTAAAATACTCACTTGGATTACACAACTGTATCAGACACCTAAAAACTCTTGAGAGTGTTGGTTCCTTTAGAGAACAACCCAGAATACCTGAAATCTTATCTTGAATGCTCTGAATCACATTACCTGGCCTCTGTGTCTCATCATCTTGAGGCTGGAATTAATAGTACCCCCTTAATAAATATTAATTAATGATTTTACATTAAACTTACTTTTATAATTACCAGTACCGAGGTCCAGAAAGGTTGGAACCAAAATGCTGAAATCTATGTGCTTAAACTTAGGCACATAAATTAAAAAGTCAGAAAATATATTTTTGGCAGTTGAACTGTTCCCATAGGTATAATCCTGCACTGAACTGAACTCATACAACATGTTGATGTTTAAACTATAATGTGATATCGTTGTGAAAAAGCTTTTCCTTTCAGATTTGAGAAAAAATTCATCACAGAGTGGTTTTCCTGATTATCAGCAGACAGGCCTTTAACTATTTTAGCACAGAATCTAGAAGTTTCACTCTTATTCTTAATATAATTAATTATTTACAATGTTT